AATGAAAGCGTTAAACAGCAGCGATTCAGTGGCAACCGAAGACTTTCGATGCTCTCGTTTATTTCTATGAATGTTAATAACAGTGTTGCATGTGGTATGCAGGTCTCATTTATGCTGAAATTAACAGAATGATCAATGCGTTCCAGTTTAACCTCGCTAGGGAATCGCTAATCGCCGAGTTTCTATATAACAGCTTGCTAATCTTTCATCGACCCTGACGGATCGTATCCTCTGATAGACAGCTATTCGCTTTTAAAACGCCTTTTAGCAAGCTTTCGTACCTTTCGTTTCAAACGGCGCGCTTAGAGGATGCTCTTCGGGAGCATCATCCAAGCGTGCGCTTCGGTCGAACTCGCTGATTAAAATGACTGTTGTGCATAAACAGTACGATTACGATCCACCGCACACGGAAAGGGTGTATTATGCTTAAAAAAAAAGAGAGAGAAAAAGCGGACGGGGTGCGAAGCAAGGACGTTGGACCTTGGACTTTGGACACGTCCGTAGGGGCAATCGAGCAGCATCACAAGCTTGACAGAGGATCATTGACGCAACTAAAACCAAAAAAGCCAAATTAAAATTAAAAGAAAGAAAGCAGATGGACACGCGATGTGGCCAACCGTAGCAACGACAGAACTGTACGACATGGATTTTTCTTTTTAGCACAGCCGATAAAGGATCTCTCCGTTCTGTGAACAAGTCCTCCCCGACACAGTAATCTATGTTTACAAAGACACATTAGAGACACCGTCTCTCGACACTTCCGGTCTAACGCCCATCACCGAGATGTCCCGGTTGCGAGCTGTAAATAATGTTTTAGGAGTAGCATAGCTAAACGAGATCCACTTTCATCTCCAGGCGTCTCGATGCTGTGCGAATCATGTAAATAGAATATACCTCTTAACCGTTCTCAGTACAGTCACTACGATAAACAATAATGATGTTGACCATGGTGATATTGATGATGATATTGATGTTAAATAAACTGTCACGTTCACGTTCTTTGTCTACGAGTCGAGTACTCCAGTCTTTTGCGAACGTCGACGTCCTTTCACCTTATATTCCTTGTTCCTCTTCGAATACGTACGGTGGGTTTCTTCGACAATTCGCCCCCCGGGGCAGTGTCGTATGGAATTTGTTAATCGATAACGTTGCTAGTCCAAGAAAACGACCTATTTAACATGAAAAATGTGAAAGGGAGAAAAAGAAGATCAAAAGTTCATTGCCCTGAGGCTTACCTTCAGGGTAGACCGTGGTGCCCTAAATGTTCAGGGACATTCATTGATATTTTATAGAATTTTCAATGAGCATAATTTCAAAGTAGATCAATAAGCGTTTGTTTTTCCATCATTTTAATATTAACGATTGTATTGAACAAAGCAGCGATGAATAAATTGATTGCAACCCGTTTATCGGCTCGATCTTTATGTATGTAGAGATATCGAAACGATCGCAGTTATCTAGCACAAGTCGATTAAACTGCGTCGATAGGTAGATCCTGTATTCGCTGGATCAATGCGCTATAAATAGGTAGAGAAACGTGTCTTTCGATTGATCTCGAATCGAAAGGAAGAAATCGATTCTGTTCTCTCTCTTTCACTAGGTCGATAACTGTCGAGAGGTTATGCGGAAAGCTTCATTGGTTGTGTGTTTTTTTTTGATTGTGTGTCCAGGAGATTTCAACCACCACCGAGGATATTCCCGAGTTCAATAGGATGAAAGTGTCGTTGGACGTACCGGCGCCTGTCTTCGGTACTGGTTTCACCCTACTTACCAATGTCAGCAAAATCCTCAGTAGCGTGATACTTGTAAGTTTCAAACGAAATTTCAAAATTCGTTTAAACGATCTTCATTGATCGATGGGACGTGGAACGTGGTCCAGAGACTTGGTTTTTTGCATACTATTTTTTTACGCAACCGTTTAATTAATTGCTATAAACGTGTTACCTTTCACTCGATTTTGTTGCAAAATCTCAACTAGTTTCCACGCATATTAATCATCAGGAGCAAAACATTATATACAATATTCAAATGATTTCTGTTATTGAAGATTGATTTTTCTTAACACTTTTCAGAACTCAGCCCGTAGAACACAGACAGTCCTAGAAGTGTTCAAGCCGTTCTTCCGCGGAGCATTCGCTATTAAAGGACTGCCATCGGACAATCATCATAATCATCATGATTATCATTAAAGAAGATCAAAGATTCGGGATACATAGCTCAATGATCGCTTCAGGGATTCAACAAGGACTCTATTCGTCGTCTTCCTCTCAAAAGGGAGAGGTAAATAGACGACTGTAGAGATCTGTGAATATAGTTTGTAAGAATAGAGCGAGAATTTAGGAAACTTTGTTAATAGTGTTTTGTACAATTAGATTTTGAATGTAGTTGACAGGAGAAAGGAAAGCTTTAATTGAAAAATTAAGTTAGTCAGTAGAAATATCCATAATTAGTCTGGCATGCGTTGACACATCCTTCTAATCTAACTTTACGAATTTTCTAAAGTTTCTTTCTTCTTCCATAGTTTAATTAATTAAGTCCAAGATGATTAGTATCATCGAACGAAAGATAATCAAATCAACTCCCATAAATAGTTTGTCAATTTCTTATAGAATTGCCATAAAGTTAAACGTTCGCAAGAATGCAACTATTGAGGAAGTACAACACTGTACCATATTTTAGATAATAGACGATTATTATTCTCTGCATGAATAGACGCTCAATATAAGTGCAGCGAACTTTTACGAGCACATGCCACAATTTACAGTTAATTAAACGCGTTCCTGATCAAATAAACGTGTAAATGTTTTCATAAAATCAGAATCGTTCGATCACTTCTCTGTTTCTTTCAACTATGGTATTTTGTCGCTTTAGTTTGCCTTCCGGTGAGAAATCGCATTTTGCACCTGCGAGATACTTTCTAGATAAGCGAACCAGGTAAATCTATGAGATAGAGCAAGTAATTGGTTGTTTGGATAGCGATTCCTGACCTTTGCATTTCGAGTGTTAACTTGTTGTATCAGTTGTTTTTGAAGCAGTGCAGAATACTTTTCTTTTCGTGTTGGGTATATAAAACGAATACCGAAAGGCTAATTTATCTTTAGGGGCTCTCAGGTGATCAATATTATTGAATGTCCGAGGATCCTTTATATAATATATATTTTTTAATTAAAGTGTAAGAATGCGATTTGCCAATAATGTAATTCATCCTCATAAAAATTTCTACTCATTATAATATGGGAATAAATAAATTATGTAAAAATTAAAAGGAGCAGTGCCTATTCTTAATACCTGTCTTATAATTAACTTTAAATCTGCATTATTCAAAATAAGTACACGCGCAAGTGAAGGTTATATAGAAAGATGCAACACTTGACCTGATTCTAAACATTCAGCGGCATCAATGAGCTGGACGAATGATAAATAATTATCATGTAAGACACGTTCCAGTTTCTATACTTTTTGTGGCCACGGTTCAAAGTGTTTGCCTTTGTAACCATTACAAACCTCTGACTACACCAGGATCAATTATCATTTCTATGACTTATCATTAGCAATTTTCTAAAGGATCGTTGGGAAAATCGCCTGTATAATTGCCACTGACTATTCATGGAAGCTAAAGAGTTAGCAATCTATCAGGCGCTACTTCACCTATTTTCACCTTTGTAAGCTAGTTAATAGTAGAGAAGAAGAATTGAAGAAAATAAATTATCTAAAGGGTTAATACTCAATCTCCAAAAATCCATAAATCAATAAATCACGTTCCTCCACTTTTTGGAAATTATTTCATTTCATATTTCTCTGCATCCTGTTTACCAACTCGAAGGCTATATCTTTACATAAACCAGATTTGCTCGAGGTCACCCAATTTTCCGCGCAATAAGGATGTACATTTTATTCAGCGAACCGCGTATCCTGCATGGAAGTTTCGTCCACCGAGTGATTCAACCATCCGAAGAATGGCGGTGAGGGAACGAGGGTCCGTTGGTGGAATTTCGTAAATTCTTTCCTTGGACGTGGCCAGATCTTTCGTAAAAACGTAAACGACCTTCGTGACTGATTCTAGACATCGGGAGGCGGAAAGTCTCATCTCGTTAGTGTCGGCTTCGCCGTCCAGCAAGATGCACTTGTTCTTACGCGCCGCTGTCGTTAAGAGGATCTCTGGCACATCCGGAAGCTGGGAAAAGTGTTCATCAAACAAACGACGTCTCCAACTTTCAATTTATTATCGAGGTAAGTTGGCGAATAAGTTAATGTTTAAAACGTTATCAGGCTGTTTATGAGCTTTTTCTACTTTTTTTATTTTGTACAGGTACTTTGAAATTTTAACCCTTGAATGGTACTGCTCCATCATGGACTACTTCTTTTTTTATAATCTTTTCTGTATACTTTGTAAATGAAAATGACCAACATTTTCCATTCCTTTCGGTACTTTTTCTTTTCTCACTAAATCCCCGAATTCCTAGATTTCTTCTGAGGTCGAAGTATTCTCAATAGCCATTTCATAACTCATTACGGAGCTGTTACGTAAAAACCGATTCGACTACGCTCTATTATACAACCCACTGCCGAAATGTCGCACCGGTGAAACTTGATATAATAGTCAAATTTTTCTAGAAATATATATATTTGCAGAGATCACGAAACGCGAAGCAAGATCGATGCAATTGATCGCCAGAGAAACGGAACTACCGTTTTTCTCGGACGTGATTATTTTTCTTTCTTGTTGTTTTTTGCATTCGTGTCGATCTAATTCTTCAGTTCCTGTCTCATAGTCCTTTCGAGACGTTGCAAGAGACATTCGGTGCAACAGTGAATTTTGTAATTCGGGATTGAAGATTTTCATAAATTGTTTATTATAGGTGGAGGAATCAACTGCACGCGAGAAGATAACAAGGAATTGCATAAGAATTAGCGGAACAAAGACGGCGAGGATTGAGCAACAATTGTGTGTGCAGAGCAAATAAATGTGAGTAGAAAGTGAAACAGTTGTCATTGAAAGAAAACGGTACCGTTTATACGATATCGTATACTCGATAAATTTACTGATTTTATCGCGAGTATCGCTTGTTTACGATGAACAGGTTTTTCATGGAAATTGTACTAACGAAAGAATTGGAAAACTATGCTAATAGGTGTTTGTAAATGGAGAAAATGGAATGTAAATAACGATAGTGAAATCTAATCGTTTACACCATTCGTATGAGAAATGAACGGTCGCTGTTATTTAGTAACTAAAGAATGATGCTCACTAATAATGAAATATACCATTTTTTCATATTTTCCAAATAAATCGTGTTAACACATTGATGGCCACAATAGATACAGACAGGCACTCATCTGAATTTTTATAAATCTTGTTCTTCCGAGGTCAATATACTCAAAGATTAAATTTGAAGAATTCAGACGCTTTTTCGTCCACCAGTGACTTTCATTTGTTTTGAAATTTGAAATTTATTCTAACGAATGTGGAGTGTACTTCAAATTCTTTATAATTGCAAATGAGTCTTTGATGTACGATCGCATTTTATTCTTCGTGATTCATCGATCTTGTTTCCAGCTCTGTTGAAAGCTCATTTACTTCGCCGGGATATTTATACCCTTCTCATTGAATAAAGAATAACTGAGGTTTTATGGTAATAAAGAGTGAATGATGGTGCCAGCATAGGCGTTGAAGCGATTTATATCGGAATAATTGATACTAATGACTGTGATAACTAGAAAAAAAAGTTCCCCACCGGCCGAGGTCGATTATTTTCTAATTCCAAGGTTAACTAGTTCCCAATTTTTGACGATTTCTCACGCAATGAGAATCACTGTCACACAACAAGTAGTTGCGTAACACCTACACATACTCGTGTGTACGTGCTTAAATGACTGTACACTTGTCTTTTCAAGAGAAAAAGAAAATTTTAATAATACATATTATCACATACTATCTTCTGTAAATCATTGGACGTTGCAATTTATAAAATACGCGGGAACTTAATACATCAGGAAGATTGCAAGAAAATTGCACTCGCGTTAATCTCTGCTGGCAAGGATGATGTGCAATTGAAATGAAGTAATCTAGAAGATGAAAGGATGAAATTGATCGATTTACGTTCGAGGAAACACGTGGTCGCGTGATTGTAGACAGTGAAAGTGAAAGATGTTTCAAGCGACCATATGAACCACGTGGGTCTGTTTCAAACGTTAAGCGTCTACCGAACCGCAAGTTTACCACACGATCTTTTCAATAAATTTCCTTAATCGTTTGCGTGTCATCGTTTAAAAATTAATCGTGTGTGCGAATATGTACAAGTTCATAATTGAAGTTGTATAGAGGGATTTCCATGAATCGTTTCATTGATTCCTTTCACACGATCACGTAATCAACAAAAATTCCAGCCCGATTCACGGAACTTCCGTAGAAAGTTGCAGTTGTTGGTCCAGGGGTTTACACAAGCCGTCACCGTAAGCCGGTGAAGGAAAATGGACATGTTAACTTGTGAGTCATTTTATTACAAATTATCAGTGCATCTGTGTTATTTTATAAGCGTTATCCGAAACAATCCCACAGTTATTACCACGCATATTAATTTTTCGACTCAACCAGCCGCTCTGATTTCACTTCGATTACGCGATGGTCATCGATTACATAATTCATTTCAGCAGTGCCTAATCATTCGATCGATATTATCGTAGAGGGTAGAAACGAATGGACGAATCGAGCTAAGTGTCAGTTAAAGAAAAAACGATCGTTTATGGAATAGTGAAAAAGTGGATGGCCTCGTGTTCGAATTCAGTCGAATGCAACGTTTGCTGGTTCACAGTGTAATAGTAGGTTACATCTGTAACCAATAAAAAATAAATCGCCGTGTAACAAAGTTTCCACTGTAGCACCGAATCCGTTAAAACTTCGAACCACGAAAAGAAACATTTCTCACTACGATATTACAGTCCCATTTACAGCGAAACGATGACGAAAATCGTCGGCCGATTGTTTCGAAAGTCCCGAAATATCGTCGATAGTGAATTCGTTGCACGCGTTTCATCGAGGTCACGTATGTACCGATGAAAATGGAGCAGGAGACCAACCACTGGGCCAGGGACCCTCCACAGACTGAATTTCGATCGGTACTGGACAGTCGCCATCCATCTGGCTCGATGTCTCGCTCACGTTTAATCGAATCGCCAGTTTGATCGACTACAGTGTAACTCGAACGTACGTACGCGAATCGGTTTAATCGATCATTTTTCCCGAGTACTGGAAAGTGGAAGCAGTGAAAGCGCGACGATGGTGTACGATTGAACAGTGTTTCGGAAATTTCTGTTTCACGCGTTACTATTATGCACACATGTGATTTAGGTTTGTGTGGATGTAGAATTTTCCGCGAGTCGATGATTGGCTAATCGACAGAGGTATGTTTTAAATCGAATTTAGTCGCGGGTCGAATACGAATCGCTTTTAATCGCGTTCTTTTCCGATTTTCCTGGCGGAGGACTCGAGTGGGTTACGTGATGAGAATGACGCGAACACCGTGTGTGTTTAACTGCTTATTTCACGAGAAAATGGCCAACGCCTTCTGCTAACCGTGATTCTATTAGTTCGTCGATTTCCTTCCTTCATTATGGTCGAGCTAGTGGATCGAGTTTCTGCAGCTATTCTTACCCGGCCAATTCTACCCGCAGCAAGTATTTTTATAGAATTACTAATAAGACAAAATAGTAAATTAAAAAATTAAATGATCATATTTTTCATAATTCATAATTCTCTTCATAATTCTTCATAATTCATAATTCTCATATTGTACTATTAAAATTTTATGCGAAAGTTTAATAATGGCAATAAATAATATCAAAATTTTATGATTAATTCGGAGCATTTGATTACAGATGCAGGTGTCGTCGATTAATTTGTTCCTGACCGGCGTATCGCTGTTGTGCTACGTCCACCCTCTTTACAGTGACCCCCAGCCGCCATACTGGATGAATTATGCAACCTACAACCCGGTGGATCATCAATTGCATCCGATGCATCACGTGCAAGTAGTTCCTCAGCGATATGAATCTCCAATTACTCATGGATCTCCATCGCACGTAACACAGTACGAGCGAAGACCACCTACCTTAGAATTAAGTCAATATCAAAGCCTTCCAGGCTTAGCAAACTATCCTGAAAGAGTACCTGAAACGAAGTACCTACAACAAAAGCGATATTACAATTACCATGATTTTGTACCAAATAATCAAAAACAAGAGGAATCGAAGGAGGTGAATTTTGAAGAAGAGGATACAGAGAGCAGTTTGAAAGAAAAAGAGATTATGGAGAAATTGAAACTACTTGATAAATTATTGTCCGAAGATTCGAGTGAGAAAGATCTCGATACGAATGGGATCGAAGACAAAATCATTCCTGAAGAATCGAAGAGGGTTGTCAGGGAGGTTCGAAAGCATAAGCCAGGTTTCTTTTGGACTTTAGCTAGGGTCACGTTCGAAGTAAGATAACCAAAATCAAAATTTAATTCAAATTCAAAAGAACTATATATCTCCAATTCATTGTAGACCATCAATGACACGAGATCAGCGATCAAACAGATCAGCGACATCATCAACAACAATATTGCACCAGACTCGGTTACACAAGCTTCGATGACAAGTGCTTTGACGGCTGTTGGCTCAGCTAACATAACCGGAAACGCGACTAGCAATGCAACGGAAACGTCGACGACCTCGCCGGAGACTACCACCCAAGCAAACTTTGTTTTAACCAGAAACGGACTGCAGAAACTAATTAGAAGAAACGTTCTGGGTCTTGTTAGATTGTTCAACATCGAATGGAAAGATGCATTAAACGTAAGACGACATTGTAATCTTCAAAAGTGTTAAGTAACCCGATTACTGTTTCGATTTTTTCATTTTTCAGCAATCAGAGCTGAACGTGAAAGAGTTTCAAAAGAATCTGAACAACCAAGTCGGGATGTATCTTCAAGACAATCCAAACGCCTACTGAAGCAATGTAAAAAGACACACCAGAGGACCCATCGATTCGTAGAAATTATTCAATGTACATTCCATTAGCGTGTAGCCAAAGACTGTTTACAAACATAAGCCTAATTGTCTATAATAGATCATTCTATTTTTGTTTCTTTTTTATGGTTCGAATTAAATTATATATTCGAAACTTAAGTGTGACTCGAATTGGTTTCACGAATTTGATAGAAATTAGTAGATCGAGCTCAAGGACGCTCGAGTATCTATTTCAAAACAGCAAAAAAATTAAAGGTGTTCGATTCGGCTCGTGTTACGTCACTTCCAAAGATCATCGTCCGTATATTTATGTAATAAAGCGACCCACGCTGCTGCCGTACGGGCGATCAGTGAAAGAGGACAGCAGGGATCAGACGCGAATTCGAGAAGCCTGATTGCGGTGAGTAGAAAGCACCTTTGGTTTGTCCCGATTGGTCGACGTGTGATGTGGGTCTCTGGATTCGCCCTTATATGTGGATCACCGAAGTAGATTCTTCAGGATATTTGTACAAACGAAGAGCGAAGAACTTTTTGTAGAGAACAGTGTGTTTTTTATTACTTGTGTCTATCGAACGCTTATTTTCTTCTGGTGAGTACTAAATCAGTTATTCTTGTCCTGCCTGTTGTAACTTTTAATATTAATAATTAGAGTCCATTCTAAATTTAGTATTGTCTAATACTTTCGTTATTTCTATTGACATGGATATTTTTTAAATATTTTATATTACCGATTTCACCCACGTAACATGATTGCTTGGTGAAAGAGGGTACAGGAGGGACTGGCAGTGTGTACGAAGATTACGTGAAATAGAAAGGATCGGTGATCGAAAAATACTACGTGAAGATCGACAAGATTCTGGGCTTGTGATTGGTCGATCGTTGGCGTGGGATCTTGCAGTCACCCTTATAGATCGGAGGATCGTCGATCCACCTTGCAGTTTCTCGATCAAGAGGTTCTCTGCAAACAAAGCGTACAGAGAACTTGTAATTGTTATACAAGAATGTTTGGAAGAAAGTGCATTGTGCTTGCTGCTTTCGTTTGCATCGCAGCATCTGATGGGGTAAGTTTTATTTGTGATCCCTATTTTAATTTTAATTTTAATTTCAATTTTAATTTTAAATGTATTCTTCTAAATTCTTCTCAAGGTATCATAAATCTAAATATCAAATTGATAGCACGAAAATTAGGTAGTAATTAAAAGCTTTCAAAAATTTAATGTTTTACTCTATTATGACCCTTCTAAATTCATTTCGATGACGTCTATTCAGAAGACACGATGACCTTTCGATCAATAGAGAGCACACAGAAAATCATTTGACGCTCTTTATATGTAGAAAAGAGAAAGTTGGCAAACAGCGTGGGTATACGAACTGTTTAAAATTACCTTCGATCATCGCCAAAGTTTTGACCCGCATCTACGAATTTATAATCATGATTTCGTTATATAGGACACATTTATCACCTCTTCCTCCTATTATGAATAAAAGATCAAGAACAGTTCACACCTGTTAGAAATTGTATGTTTTTAATTACAGGTGACGCTTCACAGGATGAAACGTCAAACCTTCCCTGGACAAGGTGGCCAGGTGATAGATAGCATTTTTAATGTAAGTTAATTTAATCACTGTTATCTTTTCTTGATGTTACAATTAAAATCCAATTATGAATATTTTAGATCCCAATCACGGCGATTAAACAGACCGCTGCAGCTGCTCAATCCTTCAGTCCACAAAATTCTCAAGCAATTGATAGCATTTTACAGGTACACAATTTGTAAAATATTTCAAATTATGTTCACGTTTCTGTATTTAACGTATATTACTATGAGTGCTTTTACATTTCTATGAATAATATCTTAAACTACATAACTTATGTAAAATATGTTAAATTATGACTAATGCACATTTTTTCTCCTACACGTCATATATTTCGACATTCTTTTTAAAATCCTCATTTTCCTAGATTCCTGTTTCAACCCTCGAAGCTGTTGGCAATTTGGTGAAAACAACGTCAGGACAGAGACGTCCAAATTCTGAAGATCTACAACAACAAATACGACAAGTAAGAAGAGACAGAATACAGGCTCAAAGGGAACGACAAAGGTTGCAGAGAGAACAATTGCAGCTAGAACGTATAAAACAACAAGAAGCAAAGAAGACTATCAAGATAAAGGACAAAGATCCATTTGGTTTGAACAGCTTAACTTTCCTGGTTGGTAATCATGGCATTTTAGGTAGCATTCAAGGTGTTTTTGGTGGTCATGGTGGGAATGGCGGTCATGGCGGTCATGGTGGTCATGGTGGTCATGGTGGTCATGGTGGTCATGGTAAATATTGCACTTGGTCGTATGTAAGTACGTGGGTGACAGTAAGTTTGTCGTAGGTTCCCATGGAAGTCACGGAGAGACCTCAGGTAACAACCAAAACACCTACGAAGTCCACGAGAATGTAGAAGAGGATTCAAACTATTCGTGGCATGGGATTACCGCTGGATTTGGATCTTACCATGGTTCCCGACCATCGAACACAGAGATTACTATCCAGAACAAAATCGCTCCTAAAGACGACATATCAAATCCATACTTTTATGATAATTCGAAGATTCAGCACAAAATTACAAATGTAAGAGATAGATTTGAAGATCCACCATTAGAGAACAAAATTGCGCCCAAGAGCAACAGAATATCGTTCAGATCTTGAAGAGGAGGAAACTTAACACGCATAAGAATTTGCACTGAATACAACTTGCATCGTAAATTTTTATCAATATACACGTGTTTATAGGGTAAAATTAAAGAGTCGATGACGTACGTCGGTTTTTGTGTTCACACAGAAAAAGTGGAAACAGTATTAAGTATAGAATTATATAAGTATTCTACGAATAGTTTGAAAGAGTCATCGTAATATCGATAAGCCTAAGTGGATGAATCATATCGTCACTGTTTATGCAGGTAACAAATGACGAAAGTGTATTGCTTAGTTAACGAATCTATAACGATACCACTAATAAGAACTATGAAGAATGAGATGTCTATACTTTTATCATGAAATTAAATTAACACCTTGAATATTGCAATGAAATGGCATTAAAATTATATTATTAATACGATTGCATTTTAAATAATTGTGGCATTTCTACTAAACAATTTTTTTTCTTTTAATTCAGCTTTATTCATAGTGTTAATGAGATATCCAAGTAGCATAAATTATCCATCCAGGAGACTGGAATATGCAGAAGGAACAATCATACTTTTAAACACCTTCCCAGAAATTACAATAAGACAACACTTTCTTTTGCTGTGACATTTGTGCTTTTGCAATTTTTATTTATATCGTGAAAATAAACATTCATACTCTACTCGTGAGATTTTCGCGCATTTTCTGTTCACGATTCACGAAGACAGGTTTGTAAGGGAGTCACGAAAAAATTCGTGAATTGGTATGCATGTTAACGATGCGAAAAATATTCATATTATTCGAACGTAACATCATTGTCGAAAAGACACAGCATGTGTACTCGTGTAACGCTTTGAATTGAAATAAACTTCCTATTCCTTTGTGTGAAACTAGTTAAATCCTATCTCAAGGATTCATTGTGCGAACGAATCTATTGTGCACAGATTTCCATTAGAAATATTAAATTTTTTAAATTTTATTTTGAATTCAAATAAAGAATTGATCACTTCACTATTTGTTTTGTCACTGTAATCTTCCAGACAAGAAGCTAAATGATACTTTGATTTCACGTTTAATAGTATAATCAACGTATCGACTTCGTTTTTGCATACCAAAGACGTCACAAATGCATTCGATTACAGCTTAAATGGCAATTAATTTGTTCCGTGGTATTAAATTATTCCGCATTTATTATAATACCCTAGCAGACGTATGAAAAATACAATGTTCACAAGGTTGAATGATTCACCTGAACGATACAATCGACTACCAAGCTTAGAAGGAAAATTATTTTACGATACTTCAAAGATTCCTTTCTTCAGCAGATCAGAAATAATTTTATAGTTACGCTTTATTTTAGCAGGTGCGATGAACTTAACTCTAATAATATTCCTGAGAAACTTCAATTTGAATTAATGAAACGCAAATAATGAAAGGTTCTTGAATTAACGGTATTTTTAACAGTTTATTTGCCAATCAGAATGACTTGGCTAAAAAACCACATTGGATCCGGTACCGTTATTAATTCCTTAATATAATCATGAATACTAATGAGCTATGAAAAACTCACTAATATCTAAAGAATAATATTCCAAGTGATAAGAAACTGTGAAGTATACTTAAATCGCTAGATAACTTGCACAAAGTAGTTAGATAACTGCAAAGTACCATTTACCCAAGTTCAACACTGAAAACAAGACAGAAATAAGATCAGCTTTCATATAGTACATTTGCATCTAATTAGTCGGTTTTCCTTGACCATCGCCTCGATCTCGCTTCCGCTAACGTCATCAATGTCATCTCTGCAAAAAAGATTCTTTTCTACGCACTTTTTTCACGATTTGATTACCGGATATTGCGTGGATGTTCCTGAAATTCGCGCAAACAACATCATTAATAATCCCCAATAAGACGTGTTTCAAGTAGCTTTAAACAATATTATCAGATTATGGTAATTTCCGTCCTGTGCATGCTTTTTCCGCGTCTGATGTGGAAATAATCCGCTGAAATCTACATCTATTTTTTTTTGTTATGACCTTTTGTAATTTTTTTGGAACCAGCTGGTTGATAGTCGGCAACATGTGTTCGATCGTCCGTAGTCGTAGAAACGACTGTTTCATGTATAATGTGCAAGCGAATCAACGATGCAGAACATCCTTGACCCCCGCAATCACAGTACATTCGGTACACAATCGTCGTGCGATTCAACGATAAGTTTTCAGTCAGTCACGAAGCAACAACGACTGGCTGGGCAACTTCTTATTCTTTTTCTTCTCAAAGGCTACGTCAGACTTTTATCCCTTCCCGTTGGGTGAGCCAGAGAGATGCCTTCGAGGTCTTTTTAGAAATCAGTAGTAAACCGTGGGGCGGCTCGAGGTGCGAGTCAGTTGATCGAAAGATGCTGTGCCGCAAAGTAGTTGTTGTTCTCCTTGTTTGTTTGTTCTCTATTGTCTGCGGAATGCCGCATACTGGCGACAATAGCCAGGATTCATCTGGGGTGAGTTCCTTTGTTTTCATTATTTTCTTGATTGTTTTTGACAGATCGTGGAGAATAATCCTGATTTATTGATTGTCTCTCGTGACTGATCGGGTCGATGGTCAATCTGCGTAATAGCTATATTTGGATTTTTGGCTACGTGATCACCTGTAATTTTCCATTACAGTGAAAGTTAACCGATGGGCAATAAATAGTATTTAAAGATTAATCGATTAAGGGTGAAAAAGGTTTTCTACCCTTTTTTGAATGTATTGTGGGTGTTAAATCTACGGGAAGAAGATAGAAATGCGAACTACCGTCTATTTACATAGATAGTGGAATTTCTAAATTATCCAACGTATAATATGGATGCTACTTAAGTTAATAATATAGTAATTAAGTAATGAAGAAAATAAAGAACAAACAGTGTTATCACTAAAATAATTACCAAATTTTGGTAATTGGAACTGCAAATGAATACCGAAAGGTCCCTACAGGAAAGAAAAGAGCACCAATGGTGAAAAATGGTTAGGTAATCTACAAACGCAACCAAGCCAAGAGAAAGGATCGCGGAAGCGTTTGTCCAAGGAATTCGTATTACCCGATGGTTATGTACTCACTGGGCAACTATTAAAATTAGTAGATACGAATCGAAAAGTAAGGTCACGGATACCCCATTTTTCGCGAAGGACCACACATCACGCGAAAAAAAGTTATCTAATGCTGACAAATTTGCCTAAACGTTCGTAAATATTACTTATGAACAAATTGGGCATTTTTCATGTCGCATGTTAACCAATTAGTAGATACGCTCCACGTAATTGACATCGTTCATCCATGGATTCGGTAACAGAATACTCCTAATTACCCTTTCGAAATTGACATTTTGTGTAGAACAATTATCAGACAGCAGGGACCTTCTGAGATAGTAATTTTAAGTAACGTCGTAATTGTCTGAGAAAATTTCTTTGGTAGAACGAGGTCGATTTCACTATTTATAATTTCAATATGTAGAAATTAATAGAAAGTAATATTAAACGATGAAGAAGATATTTGAGGATCCAATACTTTACAGCTTCCGTTCATTCAATTTACCAATGGAGGTATCAGATTAAATTTCGGAGGGTACCATGCAGCTGCTGGATTAGGAGGCCTTCTTGGAGGATCCAGAGCAGGAGGTGGTCTCCATGCCAGCGCTGGAACTCCATGGGGTGCACACGCGGGTGCTGGTTTGGGTGGGATACTCGGTGGTGACAATGCAAATGCTGGTTAGTACAGCTTTCCTTCAGTCCATTTTTTTTTTTCAGGGTAAACACCATTTTTCTTTGAATTTTCCAAAAATAATGAAATATTCAACAGGAGGAGGTCTGTACGCAAGGGCCGGTCTCGGAAACGGAAGATCAGAAGTAGCAGCCGGATTAGGAGGAGTTCTGGACGGAAGCGGAAGTACCCCGTCTGGTGGAGGATTGTACGCTGGTGCGTCCATGGGCGGGCATGGGGTTGGAGTGTCTACTGGAAATGTTGGCGGTGGATCGAATGGGCCAAGCGAATCAAATAATGCACCATCTAGCACGGAAAGTACAGAAGGAAAATCAAGCAAAGGCACAAGTAATATTCAAATCATTTCGCATCCAGGAAGAAAACCTCATAAAATAAAACAGGTATACAATAGCGGTTACCATGTTTTTTGTTCATGTGTCATTCCAGCGTGATAGAATTTCAAGGATACATTTTGTAGGCATTGGACGAATCTTCTGGATCGAATGAGGCATCTAAACAAGTTGTGCCAGCGGCGCACAAAGAGGTAAATGATTCGAAGTGATCTAGAGGATTATTTTTTAATGAGCTGGTCTTTGGTTGATTTGAAGAATCTTGTATGCCTCAACGAAAAGGCAGAAATTGTTAGAATTTCTATATTTGTTAATGTTTTATAATGAGATTTGAAGTGGGTCACCAGTTCCATATTCAATTTTAATTTTTGTAAATATTATATGGTATCTAAGAGAATGTAAAGTGATGTAACAATAAAAACAGTTTAATTTTGATTTTCAACTATTTTTTGTAATAAAGAAGTTACTATTTAGTACTTTTTCATCGAATGAATATTAAATAACAAGGTAAGAATTTACTACCTGTATAAGAAAACTTTCAAAGTTGAACGATTCCTATGGAAACAAGGACATTTTTCATCGAAACTAATATTGACACAATTTGTTTTACTAAAAAATTTGATTATGTTAGTTGCGAGAAGTACAACCCACCCAATCGCCACCCTCAGCACCAGCCAGCATTTTCGAGACATTTGCTGTGAATCCTGTTCCACAAGCATTTGTGGGAAAAGTGAAAATCGTGGGTGGTGTAATACCGGAAGCACCTCCGGTACCTCCTTTACCCAGCCAAGTGAACGAAGTGGTGCAAATTGGTGAGAATGAAACCACATTGACAATTTTAGCTCGTTATGTCCTTTACAAACAGCGATATTAATTTTCTAGAGCATCGCCCTCATCGAGTGAAATTAGTATACCCAAAATGGGTAGTCAGGAAGAGATTTTGGGGACCCAGGAAACAAATCATTATCAATTCATCTGTGGAAAGTCAGGAAACTCCGGAAACAAATGCTCATAAGATTTCACGTCGTCAAATACCAAATTATAACAACAACAGACCTGTATCAGGACAGAACGGTGTACCAGTGCAAAATGGCAACAATAGTGGTTTCTTTGATGACATATTTCAGGTAAACCTGGTTGAAAATTACTTTTTCCTTATATACTCGCATTCTTTAATACTGATTCATATAATTGTTACCTTTACACAGATACCGGTATCGACGTTAAACGCTGTCAACCAGTTCTTAAATAACAACACTTCTTAATCAACAGTATTTTTTATGACAAATTCTAATATACGGGTGTGATTTAGTTAATAGAGAGTTAATAGCTAATTAGAGAGCTATTAAATACCATGTACACATGATTTTTTGAAGATTTCTAAAATAAATTTATTAAACGAACTATTATTTCATTTTCTTTTTTAAAATAATATCTTTATGGAACCAAGACTTACTTCTTTTGAAAATTTGAAAATTTTCTATATCCTCTAATTGATGGACGACACGATGTCCCTTTCTGTTTTTCTAGGGGTAATAATGTTAACATAGATTGCGTCAGTGACAAGACATAAAATAAGTAGAAAAGTGGAATGACAATGCATTCATCTAACGAAAGCCAAGGACAAGTTTTTGAATATTGCTAATGTTCGTCCAACTAGTGCTATCGTTAAGCATTTACTATTAATGACCCAGTATTTTAGCATAAGTTCAACGATAAGTATATAAGCACGAGCGTACGACGATAAAAAGTGCACAAGTGGAGCAACAGCTAAACGCAAGGTTTCAAAGGTTCTCCTTTTCGGCAGTTGTTCGCCAATTAAAAGAACGAAACGAGCTTGTATCTCATCAAACATGAAGTTCACGATCTTTTTGTTCACGATTTTGATGTGCCTGTTGATTGGGACACTAGCCAGACCTGATGCATCAATAGACGAAAGTGTTGAATCGTCAACAGATGAAGGTAATGACGGTCAATAACTTAATCCTCGAATAATGGATTGGGATTAGCTGCATTGGGATCAACCATACTCTGTGAAATTTTTCATCAAATTTGATCTAGTTTCATTTGTTTACTTGACCATATGGATCACTTTTCGATCATACATCACTCTTGCAATTAAGAATTAAATTCTAAAACATGATTTTGGGTCTAAATTAATAGATTTTTCTGGATACAAATGTACGTATGAGAGGGGTAAGCGAAGTGCCGAAGAAAATAGCCAGGAAAGTAACAGTGGTAATGGATCATACACTGAAGTGGCCAACTGTGAGTTTCATCTTCCTTAAACACATTATTTTATTTCTCCAATGATATTTTCTCAATTTTCATTATTCTTTTCCTCAGCGTTGAAAAGCATATCAAATAGAGTGTCCGAGTTATTAGGTCAGATTGCAACAATGAGCGGACTACCAGCTGTGAAGGAATTAATGTCATCTCTTCCAGAGATGTTTCGCGGTAACATCCCTCTAGACCAGGTACGTGAGATGTTCTCTACTGAAAATGTTAATGGATTCCTGAAACGACTTAATCCGTTGAACGAGATGTTGATGAACATCCCCTGGATTGCCGGGGTTTACGAATCTGCATTGCAAATGATTTCGGTAAGTAGCCTCTTGACAGGTTCTTTCGAAACGGAGGTTCAAACGATTCTCTACACCCCCCATTTGATCTAAATCAAAATCGTTCTATTTGATGTTTTCAGATCCCTCTCGCCATGATTGCAAGCATCCTTGCTACATTGACTACTATGTTTGGAAAAGTAATGTCAACAATTTCATCAATTTCACCACCGTTATTAGTTTGAGCGGCTAAACATGTGTTATTATATGAAATTATTATATGAAAGAAGTTTAAAAAAATAAACTCAAATCGCAACTATAAAAAGTGTTATGAATTTTTATAAAATAATCTATTCTATAGTTCTTCTTTAAAGAGGAATTCCACTATAGGGTAGCTTCACCTTAACTCCAATCAATCGATTCTTATATCTATAAAAAAATTTAAAGAAACGCGTATCGATCGTGGTTCGAAACTCGCTCGATCCGTGTACGTGCCGTTAACATCGTGAAGCGAATCGAAAGAGAAAGTAACAGTGTGTCGTAAGACAGTAAGGCAAGTTTAAAGCGGAACAAAACGAAATCTTTTAGTTAACGATCAACTACGAACCACAGAACACATTCCTTGCTGGATCTTCGTTTACAATACTGCGTTTCTCTTCAGGTTCATGACAGAGCTAGGAACAATCTAGTCGTGAGTACGTTCTTGTGACGAATAATCGAGACTTTCATTTAAAAACTTGAAAATTTTGATTACTGTTTCTGCAGAATGATGATGAGCGCGCTGGAAGTGAAAAATGTTCTGAACATTTATATTCTGATCATCGTGTGCTGCTTCGACCTGTCCAACAGTCGACCTGCGGAACAACCCACAAAAATCTCATTGAACACCGGTGATGGTTTGAAGACCATCGATTCGCAGTTAGCATCAGCATTGGAACGGGTGCAAGTGAGTGACCTACTAAGATCTTCGAAGTCTAAACAAAGTTACAAATTGAAAGCCTAGCAAAGGCGCAAAGAAACTTATTTCACTCGTTATGTTTTCATGGAAAGTTCATTGGTTTAATGTCGCTAGAAAATCGACACTAACGCGATCACAGCGAGAATACTCGTGACGGAAGGTGAAAAATCAAATTAATTAGGGCAGGTCAAAATTATGTTTCGGCTTTTGTAGGAGTTTTTAGGCCATTTCGTGGACGCGATAAGAATCGCTACAGGAAGATTCGTCAATTCTATCACGTTGGCCAGAAACATCATAGCCGATCGGGCGGAGGTAATTGGCCCATTCACTTGACTAGATTAACCTTTCAACTTCACCCTACATATGCAAATGATTTCTAAAAAATAGAAAAGAAACTGATCGATCGCGTCGAATCATCCGGCGACAGTGTTTCGCAATAATCCGGCACGAGGTTGCCTTTTTCCTATATCGCGTGTGGCAATAATGATTAACGATCAGGCCTGGCGAGATGCAGAAAAGTTACGCGTAAAAGTAGTCGAGGTCGAATCTCGTAGAGCTTGTTCAATTGATTCATCGACACAGCTATCCACGAAATGTCGCGTAAGAGCGGAAACGTTCATTCTCTGTGGAATGTAATTTCTAACGATATGCAATAACAACATCGTAGTAGATTTTTATTAACAATTTCTAAACACGTACGGGTGATCAACTTAGAAATTCCTGACGGTTTGAGATTCGCATAAAACCTCGGATATTCTAACCGCGTACGTATTAGGCTGTTGCATATCAAACAGTTGATTGCGAAACGTGAAGTCTGACAAGATTTGATGACATAAAAGTATCAAGCCATAACAAGCCATTTTATCGACAATAACCTAGTACTTGATTGAAAAATTCTCAAAGCAGATATCTAACATTTTTAACACCTTTCTGATACATTTTCCTTGACGTGCGATTTGTCTATCATCCAGGCTATCACCAGCGAATCTCAGAACAAGGTAGAAAAGACAGAGCTCTCGAAACCTCAACAAAGAAGCATAGAATTGGTCAATCAACCTCCGGTGATAAATACCCGACCCGATGCCCGAGAAACGGTGCGATTAGAGAACGAAAGTGCCCAAAGTTTCTTTGAAAGACCGCTTCCTAAACCTGCAGCAGGGATTTTGGAGTCCTTCTTGCAGCCAACGCCAATCGTCGATGGACTTAAGGAGCAGGAGAAATATGGCAATACTGGAGATAAGTTCATAGGGATTGGTAGAGCTTTGGTCAACGGTTTCGAAGGATTCAGTAATTTCTTGAACGCTGTTGTAGATGTGAGCATCTGTAACATAAGATTATGTATTTTTTTTGGTTCTCGATGGTGACGAATCAATTGTTGTTTTCAGTTTCCACGGAATGCTGCCAAGAAGACCTCCCGTGGCCTCACCGAGGCGTTGAATCACGTCGGAGCAAAACTGGTCGGTCTTGAATGACGTATGTATGTAAATATCGTACTGTAAAGAATCATTTCGTTCGATGTTATCTACGCTTGTTATTTACTATTTCCTATTTTAGTTGAATAAATTGTTCATTTTTTTACCGAAACATACGCGTTGAATACTGAAATATGGACGTGTAGATAAAATCATCCTAGAAACACTTCTGAAAAATGATGTGGCATAAATATATTATTTATTAAACGAACGATATACGACAAACCTTACGAGCTTCGTTGCAGCTCCAAACGATACTTTTGTGTTCTACTGCAAACTACGAATTCCAGAACACGTTGAATAAATATAAATTATTAAAGTCGGGAAGAATTTCGATCTGTCATAATAATGAAATTGTTAATTACTAACTATACGACTGCGCGTACAATCAAATAAATATACGAATAAAAACGTTGGATCGGCACAGCCCCGGGATTTAAAGCTAATCGAAGTAAAGAAGTCTCTTTGTATACCGTAGCTGTGTGAAACGATCTTAAAACGAGTAAAAACAATTATGTGCTCTTGATTGCACGACCAGCATACCTTACAAACGAACGATCGAGTGGCTGGTGGTGCAAACAGCAATTTTGGTATGCGTAGCGTGTGATAACGTAACACTTAGTAAATAAACAATTATCGCATGCAAAGATAACATAAGATGTAACCATTCGAACACTAACATTTTATTCTCCTCGAACCTTATACGAAAGTGAGTACGACGAATCTACGAATTAACAGTAGGTTTCATTGAAAACTGACTGTATTGGCGGTTGAATCGAGAAAGACTCGTTTATCAACGCTAATGGCCCATTAGCCTAATGACTCGTCGTACGTATCTCTCGAAACATGCTCGTTAATTATTTCGCTCCACTTTCTTGTTAGTCGATAAACAGAAATTTCCACGATCATCGCGACGATCCTACTCGAACTTGAACAGAAGAAGAGTGTGTTATCTTATCAGGGAGACAACGAAGAGAATGAATTATTCTCGAATCAGGACAAGCGTAACAATCGAAATCTTCTTTAAACTTGACGAAGAAGATCGTGATTATCCGGTGTATGGTAGAATTGTCTTTTTTTTTCTTTTTTTTTTTGAAATCATGGATCCTAGACACTGGTCTCGTCTAAGATCCATCGGAAATTCTAGGTATTCGTTGTATCGTAGCTCTTGTAAGTGTGGGACGATCTCTTGTGCCTGACGGTGCAGAATAAAATCATACTGGCTACTTGTCCGAACAACTGAAGGAAAGCGACCACGAGACCGACAATGCCGACCACGTGAAGCCTGGTAACCAGCCACATTTGAATAGCCGTGGCGCAGCCTTCCTTGTACCACAACTCCTTGTTACGTCCCTCCGGGTCGAGACGACCGCAATATCGTTCTCTCTGTATGCAACAAGAGTCGGGTACGCGATCCTCCGTTGGCCACGCTGAGATCTGGAACCAGTCGGTGTAGTCCCGTACACCGCAACAGTGGAACTGAAATCGACACGGAAAATTAGAAAATTGCTGAAAGAAAGTAGGCTGATATTTATGGTAACAGAGACACCAGACGGGCCGCTAGAAATCCAGTGAGAGCGATTTCAGATTCTCAAACTATGAACTCCTAATCCATTACAATGAAGACATGCATTCACCTCGGTGTGTATGTGGTCCCATACGGAAGAAAGCGATCCAGGTTCTCTATTCTGATCGTAGTGTCTCTCGATACCATACAGTAACTCCTCCTTCAAACTCTTTGCCAAATGTTCCCTGAAGATGAAGGCAAGAGTGCCTAGCATAAACTCAGCCAGGAACATCAATATCACCAAACCGAAATACTGTGAAGGAAACACGTTCGATTAGAATGAAAAATTTCAACGAACGGCTTGTCAGGTATTGTCTACGTACCGTGATTAACATGCATCGCGATTGAAACCAAGCACCGCAGCATCCGAAGAAGGCGATGACGAAGGTCACGCATCCGGCAGCGAGCAGGAACGAGTCAGCTGACGCGAAACTGTAATGCGGTACCAAGGTTGAGTATCCAGAGAATGCCAATCGCAGCCATAGGCCTGCACCCAAAATTCCGCAAGCGCATAACTGTAAAGAAAATTACTGAAATCAGAGCGGCCGTTGTTGGCCTGGATGCGGTCGACTGCGAACGCATATTTTTCTTCATGGCGATCGTCAAATTGCTGGATTTGGCGAAATTAAAATGATGAAACGTTCTCTTTCCCATGACCGCGATTATTATATCAAAAGGAAAATTATCCTCTTGGTTGGGTGAAACTGAGTTTGTGTCGGTGACAGCGAGATTAGAAAGGATATTGACCTTTCTCTGACGATTGTTGCGGTTTAGTAATTTACTGTCCCGTCGCTGTCTCATCAGACCCTGAGCAAGATCAAAGCGATTGTTCTCTCCCATTTGCCATTTCTACTGTTCCTTTGTCTGGTCAACCTAATTTTGCCACATTTCCCGTTAAGCTTCTCGTCTGCGTTTAATTTTTTAAAGCGTAACAGTCGGGATAAAACAAACGGATAATCTAGGACGACGCTTCGCGCAGAAACGTCGCCGACAGAGTGTTGACCCTAGCGATATCATCGAACAACCGCAAATTAGCATCAGTGTGGTAACCATCGGTCGCGTTATCCAATCCGGTCGAACTAGTTCGAACGTAGGTATCGTCGATGAATACAACGCTACGCGATAAAGAATCAGCCGGGAGGAATGAATGGACGAGCGATCGAGAGATTAAACGCGCTGCTCGATTTACGTGGTTCGCGTAACTGGTACCGTTAAACATTTTTCCAGCAAACATAACGGCCGTGCAAAAAGTCCAACATGGTCGATTAACACGCCGACTACGTTCACGGGCAAAATTACCGATGCAATTTCAACGCGAAGCTGACCAACCGTACAATTAAGGGCACAGCGCGCGTAATAAGAGCCCTGGAAATTGCAAACGTGTTCTTTGTTGAAACTGTGCCGATTTTTTTTCAACATTGTTCCTCGTTTTACCGTTTAAACCGCGCCGACTTTCAATATTGTTCCCTTTACCAATTCTATTACATTCTAAACGATGTCCTCAAAATGTCGACGCGTGCTTTAAATCTTGAAAAGAGTCGCGACGAGTGTACCTGTTGAAAGATTTACAAGGAAAAGTCTCGTTAGACGAGTGCCTTGAGAGTATGCTGACCGGTACCGTAAGTTCATAGCTCATAGAGCACGGTTCAATGTCCTATTTAAGGCTGGTACACGACGGAACGGACGATTTTAAGTGGCACGATAAATTCGAGAGGAGAGACCGAGCATGTTGGAATGCACCGAGAATGACAATGCGCATCGATTTAATCGCACGCGTGGGCTGTTCCTACTGTTAATGCTCCTTCCTCTTAATTCCGCTTTGCTCTGATGCAGTCAATCACTTACGTATCGTAAGAAACTACTTAACCTTCTATTAGATTACGTCTAAATGAGAGGATAACGGCCTACACCTTAATTGATCCAATTTTTGGAATTTCAAACATTTTCTTCTATGTCTGCTGAAGAACATCGTTATTACAATGCTTTTTGATCAACGCGATATTATGAACGTGCTTGTCACGTGTTTTAGATTCTCATGAACAATATTTATTTTTAACCGGTTAAAAAGAAGTTTTTATGGTCGATGATGAAATAAATGGTATAGGAAGTTGCGCGCAGTAATTACGATTGAATGCAGAGGTGAGAAAACAGCTGTACATAGAAACATCGCGTAGAAAAGGATTCCTATGAAAATTACGTACCCAAATGAGAAGGTTGAGGGAGCAGAAGACGTGCCTGATGCACGTGTATCCTGTGCGGCCCATGGCTCGATCCTTCGCAAGGTTCGTCCTCGCTCAAAAGGGACTGGCAGTATTTCCTGGAAACACGAGAAACGGTATGCGATGATTCTACTGTTTCCAAGCTATTTTCGTTGTTTGTTCGTCTGGTTTCCTTAAAAGGATCGTAAAATCTTTGGCTAATCCGACTGCGCAAGCGTGGTTTTACATTGGCGCGAAACTGTTAAGTTTTATTTCAATTTATAATATCCTTAGGACATTGTCATTCGAGAGTTAATTACGCGTATTCATCGACGAGGTCGTTAACATTCGTATTTGCGAATCGTTAATTATATTTGGAAAACTTTCGCTGTTTACGCTCGCGATCAATCGAATGCTTGACCGAAGAATCACGCTCGATATTTATATCCTGGTGAATCCGCGATCGACGCAGAACAAGATACGAATCGAGAGGAACTGCGTCGCTCCGAACTACCGAGAAATCCCTTGACCACCAACGAAAGGAAAACGATAAACAAGAAGGAGAAGAGGAGCCGGTGGAAGATGAAGATAAAGCTGCACAAGCTCCACGCGACGAATACGTATTCCGCTCGAACGCGGGCTGTCTCACGAAAAGCCCGCCGACAGATATCTCCATTCTTCAAGGATCGTGACTTTTGTTTCACTAACAACGCACGAAATCGCAACTTCCCGGTTGAATATCAACAGTTTCAACATCCAAACTTTCGTCGTTGGAGCACAAGAACATTGACACTTAACGAATGTTTTAATAGATAACACATTCGCGTGTGAAAATCACTTTCACCGTTGAACATCAACTTACGAGTCAACTCTTCAACGTCAGACGTCTCATCGCTTCCTACGCGTCGCTAATAAATGACTAAGTAACAGGTGTAAACAACGTAGAAACAAGAAGTATGAAAATGTAAAGAGAGAATCGATACCGGTTGACAGTCGATCCTCATCGAACGAGGATCCGTTCCGGTGTGTTCGAAACCAGGTTGATAGGATTGGCTGCGGCCCCTTCTGGGCCTTCTAGGTCCCCTAACGGGACACCATGCCGACACCGGCCTCTCACTCATATACGATCCTGATCGCGATCGCGTGAGTCCGCTACGAAGGCATAGGTGGACGTCACTTTCCTACGAATGCCTCCTGAGAAACCTGTAACACCCCAAGGTCGCCGGAAATCTACCCCCGCGATTCTTCCTCAACTACTTTTGCTCTCTTCGATAATTTTCTGATTCATTTGTTTTCAAAAACGAATTACGATTATATTACATTTGTCAACCTGTCGAGGAACGAATGGTTCCAGAGGATAAGATCACGGTATCGGAAGTCAAGATCGCGGTGAACCGTGCCAGACGTTCGACACATTTTTTCCATGCATTATACATGTCTGATCGCGTGTAAATAATGGATCGTGTGGCGCACGTCTAACCGATGAATAAAAGATCGATGCGATTTTACTCTCGCCGCGTTACGAATATTTTCTTTCCTCCTAAAATCGCGCTAGAATAATTAGAATGATTTTGCCAAATTTCACTCGGAATTTTCGTACGCGAACTAGAAACATTTTTATTTTCATCGCGATAGATTTGAAATTGTTAGTTCGTGAAAATTTAGATCACCGAGTTGAATAAAGTTTCTAACGGATTACGAAGAGAAATCTTTTAACTGAAGCGTCAGACGGATGGAAAAGAAGAATTTTTTGCTGCATGAGATACGTTTTTGAGTACCGAACGAATCGGTTAACGCGGATTTCTCGTTTGAATGCTCACGATTGTAGCACGGGTTTCTTTGTACAGGTGAAACGACGTGGAAGGCGTTGAAGAAAGATCGACGTGACACGGCTTATCTCGAGCAGTCGAGGGTGACATTTACTTTGGACGTTTAAACCAGTCAGAGGTATCTACGTTTTTTAACACACGCGAAGAGAAGCAGAGTCTTTGGATTTATTTTTATTCGAATATTATAGAATTTCAGGCACATAAATACGGTTTTACGTCATTTAACGAGCTAATAAAAAAAAATGTGTTTGAACATTCCCTGTATCCGAACGTCGTTATCAAGATCATGTAATATTGATTTACCTTATCGCGTGATCAAACAAATTTCTCGTGTAACACAACGCGCCACTTGTTGCAAAACCGAACCGGTTAACCGGCGTGGGTGGTTTAGGTCTGAATTCTGAAATTAATTAAAAAAGTTATTCCTCGAGGTGGGATGAGTTTTCAGTTATAAAATTTCGCGAAGGCGATATCGAGAAGGGAACCGCGTTAACGGGGTTAATCGTACTTGAAATCAATTCGTAGCGAGCGAAATGGAACCGCAAACGCGGCGGCTCTAATGAACAGCGAAGAGAGTGCGAGGGGGCGTAGAAACGGTCCCCCTTGCCACGACTTCCTGCCAATTGCGGACAATTTGCCATCATCTATGATCTCCCCGCTCGTCGCCGCGTCGACGCGATGTGTGGACGCTGCTTAAACGTAAGAGTTAACGCGACACGATTCTTTTTCTCTTTCTCCCTTTCACCCCTTCTGGCTATCCTCATTCTTTCTTCGCTTTATCATACACGCAATCGCGTTTACGCGTCCTACGCGTATCGGCTTCCCACGTGACGCAACCGTGGAAAACGGTACAACTTTTGTTTACCCGAAAATTCTTAATAATTTTCATTCGCTATTACGAAAATAGATGTGGTACAATCATCGAATTGTCCACGATCGTGGCCGAGGGAGATCGTTAGAGAAAAACGCGACGCATCAATTGAGCCGAGCGAAAGGATCGCTCAAGGGCAACGAGGGAGCAGCGTCATAATTCCTAATTTATTACAATGCGCTCGTTAATCGTGAGACGATATGCGACCGTGTGTATGCTCATCCTCCCACACGACATAATGGAGGATCGAACAAAGGGCCGCGTATATACACGACATCAAACTCCTCGTCGTGTCCCTTTGATCCCTTACGACGGCCACACGTGACCAGCTTTTCGAGCTGGGGATTATGGGAACCTCGGATTGAAGATTCATTCTTTGTGAATCTATTCTTGCGACTTTCAATGGATTTATCGTTAGCATAACAGCTGAGATTCAAAATAGTATCGCTACTCTCGAAAACCCTTTGAAAGTGTTTTGTTCGAATAGAAAATATCGTGGGTCTAATCGCTTCGTTTTCATACTTACTAACCGATTTATCGTGCACGCGAAATATCGCTGGCTTATTGTATTTCAGAAAGAAAGTTTCGACGATTTCCCACGAGGTCGGCAGAAAGCAGAGGATACCGTACAGGTGAAAAAAAGCAAAATTCTACGGACGATTGTTCCTGCGAAAAGGAACATGGGAAGAGAAATCGACGTTCGTTCGGTTCGCACGATCGATTTCCTCGATGTCGCGATCTCGTCGGGGATTATCGAAACGGTCCGCTTCGCGACATTTAATTAACGTTTCTAATCCCCCGTGTGCGGGGAAGATTACGGTCCTTGATCTAGAAACCCGTTCTAATCGGGGATCATTAAAAAGCTGGCTTTTGAACGCGTAGCCGCGTAATAATAAACGTGCTACTTTTATCACCTCGACAATTGTTCTTCGAATCGGAATTATTAATTAACCTCTTAATAGAAACGTGGTCCATTAATGAAGAATTCCGAAAAATTTCAAAATTCGCAACGACGAAGATGTCACCAACCATTAATATTTTCAAACAGAATAATCTAAATAAATATCACAGTTCATTATAATAGAGAAGCAGCATCAGTTTGCGACACGCATAGAAGAGATTGTTTCTCATGTACTCATTACACATGGGGAATGGGGTTGCGTTAGTGTCATTGGACAATTCGCATTAGCTTGATTATGAGATTCGTTCATAATCATTATTATGTAATACGATGTCTCAATTCCCTTACGTAACAGGTTCCACGTACGAAACTGTGTGATCTGTTTTCTCACCAAATATTTTTATTTATCGAGTAATTTGAAAAAAGAAAACCGAAACATGTTAGACAAGTTATTAGAAGCACTACCGATCGTTACACAAAGACAATGCGCGTTTGTCTTTCTGGTTACAAATTAATTCTTTCCGTTGCGGATTTAACAGGCGAGATTAATAGCGATCTCGCGGAACAGGCTTCAAAATTGCCCGCAGCCTTGGCGAGAATAATTTTCTGCACGTTTCTGCGCGAGAAAAAATTTGCAACCAACCGGTTGAAACGTGTAATTTCTATATTATTTTCAAATTATCGCCGATCCGAAACTTACATTTGACAAAAATTGTTTAAACCTACATGTTTTGCAATTTGATATAAAAAGTGGTGACAGTACGACGGGAAACAATAGAGAATCTAACCACGCAGGAATTTTCCTGCTGCAATTGCGTAATTTCATCCGCATGTGTGCTCAGTCTTTCGCAAAAGACCGCACAAATGCAAATAACACCTATAAGCGAAAGCGCTGATTGTTTTTAAACTACATCGCGAGCGGAAACGAATCTGTGCCTCGACACGATTCGATGGGACTCGTTAAGCGCACGAATTGAAGAAAAAAAAAAGGGTCAACCGTAATGGTAGCGCGTCACAGTTACGACCGATTATTCATCGAGCAGCGTTATTTTTAATTTATGCTTGCATCGCGAAATTCCGGAAAACGACACGCTCGCGAAACACCGCTGACACTTGTAAACGATACGCTGTCACAGTTACCATAATCAATCTACCTACTTAATTGCTTTGCCTTTTGTTATGCAATAGTGAAAAAAGTAGATCACTGTACAACGAGAAATCAGCGAACTTCTATTTGAACTCTAATGAAATTGTATCTTGAATATGTTACAGCCAAAAGTAATCGATCCGTTTGCGCGAAAAATTTGAAAAAGACGGAAGCTGGCGGTACCGGAAGATAGAAGTTCAAACACACTGACACCACTTACCGATAAGATGAGAAGAAGAATGACTCGTCTGATTCACCGTTGACAGAAGCTGTCAGGAGTTGTTGTATGTTGAACGAAGGTTCATGAAGAGCGGAGTCAAAGGTCGGCTCGTGATCGCGACAGGTTTCGAGTTCCCGGCTCGACTGCACGGGAGGAACGCGCACAACTCTCGCACATCCGTTCTCCATCAGTCATCGTGAGACGAAAGTCGCCATCTGACGGTAACCATGGTAATCCAACGAGATAGATCGCTCGAGAGAAATTGGGTATCGTCATTGTTACACGTGGTTACACCTGTGGAGAAAGGAACACCGTATTTCGCGGGTTTCACCGTTGTCCTCTGTGAAACGATGTATTCCATTGTCAAATCGTGTGAAAAGAATTTCCAGATTGATTTCAGAGAGCACACCTATCTAGCGTAGGTGAAAAGACGATGATGGTATTATAAAGACGTTTTATCGTGCAAACGCTCGAGTTCGACTGACTTTCGACCGTCTCTTTGTGCAGGGAAATATCCCCACAATAACAGAGGGTACAATCTTAGGTAAACATGCCTCGATTAACGTGTAATACGAATAACGTATACAATCTGTCGTTGTCTTCAGATGTCTCGACAAGAGGCTGTGCGCAGTAAACACCCAAGACGAAGCTTATAGTTTCTAGAAACACTAGAAACTTTAAATTCTCAAATTTTTAAAGTATGTAAAGAGAATAGATTATTGAACGGAAGAGAAAAGGCCGGTCGGCGAGGCGTGGTCAGAAATATTATATACGTTACGAATAATGTTTTCTTACTATCCTTTAATGTTATCGTTATAAGGCCTCGTTCGCAATACTCCGCTCTCGTTGAGAGTCCTCGTTATTTATGTACACGAGGCATACCTCGTATGCAAGAAACGAGAGGAACTAATTCAAAGTCGTTTGTCCTGTTCTATTAGAGAAACGTTTAATAGTGAACAACAGAAAAAGTACATAACAATAAATTGAGGAACATGTTGAAACGTGAAATCATCTCTTTCTTTATTAATCTCGCTTCCTATACTTCTGAGAAGACTCGTCCATGGAACTCATCCATAATTGCAGATCCTTTGGCAATTCAGGAACTCGAGCATTCGGCTCGACTTCTGCAATGATTTCAGATACAGAAATATTTGATCCTGTTATGGTTTGTTTGCTAAGAATCACAGCACGAACGAAATTATCGGTTAAACTGATGAATTGATGCTCCAGGTAGAAGTGTCTGTCTTCCCAATAAATCAGCTATGAAAATAAAACACATTATACGGAGAATTGTAAATGCAGCTAATGTATAAAAATTTATTGTTTACCTTGGTAACAACTTTGAATGGTGTAAAAATTGGAATTGCACGACGGTAACGGGTCGAAGAAGCTCCTTGGACTGCACCACCGCCTTTTTTTACAATTGCCGAGTAAATTCCAGATCTATCGTAATAGTGGAATCGTGCAAAGTCCAGTTCGCGAAGGTATCTCGCGTTGTTCATATGTTTGAACAATAAGTCCACGTCTTGCGTTGTACATATTCCTGGAAAAAGGAAAGTGGTACTCCAGCGGTACAAAAATAGAACATATAAATGAACAGTGACTGTGGAAGAAGAGGGTATTATAAATGCAGTAGTCACTGATCGCCTATTTATGTTATCGAAAGGTGCAAGTCTCCATTGTATCTGCAATTTTGATTACTCTTTCTTATTAACTTCGACAATCATTGTACAAGCAAATTCATTAGCAGAACGGAAGTGGGTTCACAACTGGTTACTTTCGAGTCATTGATATACATACAGGATATCTTTCCCTTTGCATTTGCATAATTTAGCTTTGAAGTTTTCATCCTGCCGCATGTCCCTCGTTTTTAAAAATCACTTGTATTTCACGATGAAATATTAAGATTTTTGGGTAATTGTTTCGGTCAAAGAGTCGTATTGAACAGTGTACGTCCTTGATCTTTTTGGAACTAATTCATTTGACGTCAATAACATGGTTTTGAATGCGTGCCGCGTTTAAGACTACGTGACCCGGAACACCGTACGACATCTTTTCGCGCCTTTTGTTCTCACACTATTCGGCATTTCGATTTAAATAGAAACACAACGCTGATTCATAGAATCGGTGATTTATAGAAACCGTGTTTGCTAATATAACTTCATTAATATCGCGAATTCTAATGGTTACATTAAACTGTATCTTATGGACGAGTTAAAAGAGAAAACCTTAGATATAATTAATGACGGTTTTCCACTACAATTTCATTCAAATCTGTATATATGTATACATTCCTTACATATCCTTCGCTTCTATTATCGACAAGTAATAGGAAAAGAAGATATCATTTAGAACTGGTTTTCTTATTTCAAGGCTGTTAATTTTTATGCAAAAGATGCAAAACGGTCGTTGTTTACGCTAGTTAAATAGAAATCTAGGTGGAAAACAGTCTGTACGATGTATATCTTGAGAAATCTCAGAAATACTATCAAACATTATAGAACATCGTATTTGATTATATACAAATGTCACCTTGAAGTTATCATTAAATTCCGCTATCTACTTTCTGAACGTTCCAATAATTAATATCATCGTGTTCAAAGTACACTAGATTATACGTACAAAAAATAAAATGAAAACGTAAACGAATTCTGCCAGTCATTACCGTAGATGGTGGTAGCGTCAAAGATTTTCTTCCTCTTCTCAAATAGTCTGCCTGTGATCAGAGTGAACGCCATCCTGACGAAATAGTTGACATCGAAGAGTATGTAGAGAACAAGAAGAAACGTGAGGAGACAGGCGCACACCATGTTTTAGCTGGACTTCCGGTAAGAACGAGAGCAGACGATGACGACCGACGTTCACGTGGTCACAGTCCAGAGAAGACTACGGGTTCCGATGAAATTCCAAACAGTAAAGCCACTTCCAACAACGCGCCAAGTGGTAACCGGTTCCTCCTCATCCTCTGACGTTTTACCAGAGTCATACAACGGTGCTGACCACCTTTAGAACTCGGTCAAAACACGCCGATTGAACATCGTCTGCTACGAAAGACGTTTCCACTTTCAATTCACCTTCTTCGATCGGACATTCTAGCGAATAATAGATGAGTCTATGCGGGTGGCTAAATTCAGTGGATGGTCCTTAACTATCGAGATATTTAAAGGTCGGTAACTTAAAAGGTCAGATATATTTTATAAGGTTTTGAAGGTGAAAACGTGGCATTGAAATTATTTTAATAAGTACTTACAAAAGTTCTTATGGACACAAATTTGAATAGTAATTATTTGTCACGATTAATAATACCACCGATATTGGTACATATTGATGATATTGAAATATTCTAGTACTAAAGTTCCAAATTTAAGTACTTGATTCTTCGTAAAATAAATGTGCCACGCAATAAATGGAAATAAGATCAAGAATGACACGTGAAAGTGCTAATCTTTACTTGAAACGTATATTGCGTTAATGTATTCGTGGCTACGTAAACATCCTGAAAGTTAATGGAACTATTTTTTCATATCGTATATAAGAAGATCGTAAAGTTTCCATGAAATAAACGTTATTATGCATGCTGATTTATATTCTCGATAGTTACATAATTAGAAATTTTCCAAAACCGATTGAGCTGTTTAAAGAAACGAAACGGAAACGCATTAACCATCTAAGGGATAATTTATTCATTCTTCTGGACAATGGTGCCTTTTCAACGACACGACCAACACAGTATTATTTCGACAAACATGACATTATTTATCAGCTAGAAGTAATGGTAAAGTATTTTCAGGTGCACAATGCTATATAGCTGTCAAGATTGGCTACATAGTCGGCTACATTGAATGACCAAAACTACAGTACTCGATTTCGTTCCGAAATTCGGTGGAATACATTCGACGGATTCGCGCGTGCAAATAGCGTCGGTAACGGAAGGCTGTATAAATATATAATGATTACAAAATTAATCGCAAAGCTCACGTAGATCCAACACGGGAACAACAGACTTTTCCTAACGAATACAATAAAAAATGGGGAACCTTAAAATTGAGGTTGATTTAAGCAGACACCTGCTTAAAAAGGTGTTGATGTTAGTTAAAATTAATTCGCTAATTTGTCAGAAATATTTCTATTATTTCTCCGCTAATGTACCGGTGTTCTAAGAGTTCGAATGTCAGGCACAGAGTGCTCGATAATAATCGCAGGAAGAGGATTAACCCATTCGTGACTTGTATGTAAAGGCACCTGTGTATAGAAGTATAAATACTCTTTGACGCGCTTCTAAGTCGATTGTTTTTGCATTTTTCGCATCCTGCCACTTCACCGTGTTCCCGCGATACGACTCATTACCGACGCCAATCGCGCGATCCATAATTTAAAAAAAAAAAAAAGAAAGAAGGAGATTGCGAATGATCGCATCGCGATTACTTTCAACGTCGAATATTCAACAAACACGACCGCTCAAGCTTTGGAAGCTCATTGACAGTAAAATCGTCGATTAGAATCGCAAATGTTCGTTCGACGAACTGGCACGCCGTTCCACGGTTGCCCGGCAGCATTTCCGAATATCACGGAATCTCATACGTATCGTAAACGCATCAAATTGCTCGAAAGTTGTCACTCGAAGCGTACAACCGTCGCCTAGTAAAATAGTTCCGCGTCTTTTGTACTCTATATACATAACATTGTTTCCCAATCCATTCGAAAACATCTTCCACGTGTTTACACCTCTGAGTCGCGTTACAAATCTACGCTGAATCAATTTCCAGGCGGACGGACATCAAGTTTCAAGCAGCACAGTCGTTCGCCTTAATCCTTTACTCGATCGTCGACCAGTTTACAACCATATAAAACTTTTAAACTTAACGCGATCACTAATATCCCATTCACCGTAAAAATTGATTCACGAGTGGGCTCACAGACACTCGGCTACATGTTGGAAGCGAGGAGAGACGCGCGCCTCGCTGAACGCACGAAATCTCGACCTTATACAGTCGTGGTCGCGTATACGGAAGTAGAAACGACGCCGTTCGCTGAGGACGGCGTCTCGTCTGTTTGTCAGCAATTCGTTGTCGCCGCGGCAGCTTGACGAAGAAGCGCCGAAGAGATCTCGTTGCTCTCCAACCACCTCGCAACCTCTGGTGGCATTTGTGGCCTCACGTGAGGTATCTGTAACATTCACTCTGATCAGTGGCGGCTCGCGTATAGGCACTGTGGAACTGCATCACCCCCTATTTCCATTTAATATTATCGATAACATTTAATATGAGTCCTTTCTTCTTTAATTCTTATTTTATACTTGTATAATATATAATCCTTAAGCTTAATTAAGCTTAAGCATAATCTTTGTATGGAACTGTGCGCTTCACAGTTCCAGCGGCGTGGTGTTTGACTGTGTGCGCATGCGCACATAGGAAGCTGCGCGCGAGGCTGCGCGGGAGAGAGAGTACCGTCCCCTACTAATTTTAGCTGCCAGCTGACTCTGATTAATATATGTATATTTTTTTCAGGATGATTGCTGACATACTGCAGAGGATTGATGCTTAAAGTAGCATGGAATTTGAATGATATAATCATTCCGGCATTTCTTGTATAAGGATTGAGTAATAATGATAGAGATCGAGATAAGGGGATTCCGTATTATCTTTACCGAAAGAAAATCTATTTTTATTGTTAATGATAATCGATAGATTTGTATATTTCTATTCGTGAAAAATTAAGCTTCAAACAAATAGACGTAAATGCTCGTTTAATATGCAATAATCCAATATTTGTTCTCGAAGAAAGACAAAGATGAAAATTACCTGAGTAACACCTGCTTCAACGCCGTTTTGCTTCACTCCTCGTTCCATGAGAGAACCGATAACAGCCTCAGCACTGCAGTCCAAAAGCTTCTGTCTACAGATCGCGATGGCCCTGACGAATCCATCGCTCGGTGTAATGAACCGATGTTCCATGAACACGGACTTCTCGTCCCAATAGATAATCTACAAAAGAAAATATTATATGTTTGGTCCACGTATTTGATGACTCACGAAAAACATCGAGTCATTTCACGGCGATACCGTTCTTGACGAATAACATCGATTTTTATTGATGTAATTGATAGTTTATTGGCAAGAAAAAAAGAAGGAGCGTAATTGACATACAATTAGCATTCAACCTACAGCGCGATAAAAGAGATAGCAAGAAGGATGGAATAAATTTTCGACGCACTGCGTCAGACGACCACCAAGTGCATACGCAATTATCACTCTTCATTAACGCGGTTTGTGTTCGCGATTGGCCAGCGACTTCTCTTGAAGACGAGTCGTAGAAAGAAAAAAAAATGAGGAAAATGCTTCCTAGGGATTCTTCGAGGTGGTCGGAGTACAACGAACGTAATACGATTTCTCGCGGCCCTATACCTTAGAAGTTATTTTGAAGATGGACAAAGGCTTCACGAAGCGGCGATAACGAATGGTCGCTGCACCCTGAACGACACCCGATCCTTGGGAGCAGATTTCACGATACAGGTTCGTCCGTTCGTAGAAGTCTGCCCTGGCGAAATCCAGCTCGCGAAGGTATCTCGAGTTGTTCATGTGATAGAGGAGAGTGTCCACGTCCGTCGTGGTGCAGATACCTGAAGAACATCAAATATTAGTACGACACGGCAAACACTCGAGTATCAGGTGATCCTCTTATCACATTGTACGCTTCGATGGCTTAAAGCTAGATATTAACGATTCTCGAAACAATTTTCTCGAAAAAATAATTCTCGAAACAACAATGGTACGTTGCATTCCGAGGATGTTGCATTTGATCGATGAGTAGCTTCCGTTATGGAAATGATATGCATTTATTGGACGGAGAGATTAATTGTCGCAATCATGAAAACGCATGCGAGTACTCTCGATCGAAGTCAGAGGTATTAGGGACACGTGAATTCTTTCGAACGATGTTCACGTAACCGCGTATCGCGAATTCAATCGTGGAACACTTGAGTAACTTCGATACGATAGATATAAACATATGAAAGATGTTAGAAGAGATAAAACTTGCAGAACAAGTATTCCTCAAATTAGTATCGTTAATCGTTACAGTGGAAATGGACACGTGTGATCATACATATTGAACTTGTGTTGAGAAATTAACCCTATCAGAATTGTAAACGATTAATTAACGTGACAGAAAAACGATAAATACAGTGTGTTATCCGGTTAAAGTATACAATGATACTAAAAGTCTATCAAAATGGGAGAAAAAACTTATGAAATAAACATTTTTCGCAAATATGTACATATATAAGAATACAAACTCATTTTTTCACGGTGCATATAATGAGGCACGCCTGTTTATCTCCACCACAAAAACTTCTTACAACTTTAAGTAACTGTATGTTTTTGATGCATTCGCTGAAAATTTATAGAAATCTAGAAATGCTATAAATTTGGATTAATATAATAACATTAATAAAAAAAACCGACGATCGAATCGAAGATATGAAAGCCAGCAGAGGATTGTCTTCTTGGTCCGCTGCAAGGACTGTTAAATAAAAGATTAGCATTAGTCAGAATGTCCAGACACGATGTGCGTTTCGAGGATTTATTATTCTTCGACGGAATCACCTGACGTGACAAAGGTGCACAGTTCCCGCTACGTTGCCATACACGCTAAAAGTTATGAGAATCGTTTAAGGAAAGCATCTATTAAAAAGCTTCGAAATGCTAATAGAACGATTAAAGTATTTTGCTTACAATCCCCAAAAAACTTTTGGGATAATCCACGTAAGAAGCCAGAAACGGTGACATTTTAAGAATTCCAGGACTTCGAAAACTTTCAAAACATTCAAGGGTATTTGACGTTAAATAGTTAGTAAAGTCATTCGAAACTCAAATACGCTAGAATAGCTTGGAAACTTTCAAGAGAGAGTATCGAATAACCATCGCCACCCCTGATGTCACGGAGAGACGTGGGTGCCAGTAAAATGACGGGTGCAGACGATGCAACCGTAAATTCTACAAGTTGTGTTTACGTTTCAATTCGGTCGGTCCAGTTACGTGAAAATTTAGCTGCACCGTGTCGTACAATCAATACTAGCGCGGATTTGCGACACGAGCAACCAGCCAGCCGGCCAACTGATTCGCGCATGGTAGGTCAAGGTTCGCGGCAACGAGACCGAGATAAGTCGGTATATTCTAAGGATTCTGGACTTACGTAGCGACACGAACGGTGTATGAAATGCATTTTCATGGAATCTCTACGTTCTTCGATAATAATTTTCTCATTTTTTCCTTGTTGGATAAACATTTCCAACCCTCTTCAATTGTATCCAACGAATAAAAGAATGTAAGAGTACGTATCCAGTGGAAAGTAAAATTCGCAAGTGGTCAGCTGAGAGTAACTCTTGGCACGGTGCCCGGTTGCAAAAAAATGCTCTCGGCAACTTCTCGCACGATTTACACCCTCGAGTAAGCAAAAAAAAAAAGCAAGGAGTGTCAACAGTTTTTGGATTCATTGTACATCAGAGATTGAACGTACCGTAGACGGTAGTCTCGTCGAGGATGTGAGCCTTTTTCTTGCAGAATCGCGCGAACAGCACGGTGAAGAACATGCGCAAGAAGTAGTGAACCTCTATTAGGCCGTAGAGCAACACAATGGCCCCGAAGACGCCGGTCAACACCCAGCAGGTTAACATTTTTGATAACGCTCTTTCTTCCCTTCGTAAAAGCGGAAAAGGAAGAGCCGGTTGGTCAGACTTTGGAATCTCTCCGCCGTCGTAAAAGCACCACGCTCCGCTTTATCGATTCGTGGCCGAGACTGACGGCGTTTTCTGGCTGCTTTCTGGCCGATGAAAAGTTGCGTGGCTCGACTAGCATGACAAAGAATCGCTGATTAATCGTTGCACCACGAACAGTCTCATTTTGAAAGATATCCTCGGGTCATGTTCGATGATACCGGGTCACCTTAGACCGCTGTAACAGCTTCTCTTTCAAGGTCTTCTATGTAAAAACCACGTCGAACCTGCAACATGATGAATAACGAATTAGATAATGAAGAGAAACAGTCATGTTACCTAGAATTTGTCTGCGTTGTTCATTAATACACGTGGAATATTCCGTTCAAAGTATTTAACACCTAGCAGCTAACGATAGCGAAAAGCCCGAGATTATAATCGGTACTATTGCTACAATGATTTTATTCATTGATAATGATGAAACGATTCTACACGCGTGTCTGAAAATAACGAAACGACAGACTCGAGGAAACTCATCCTGTAAATGAATCCGCAAATATAGGGAGCACACGCCAGCTGGCAACGAATGGTCGAGAAGACGTCAAAAATAGGCATCGACGAGCCACGCGCCTAGTCTGCCGGTAATTTCTACCGATGCGTGAATCGATCGATGAAGAATCGTAACGATTTGAGAAAAAGGGGAACCTTTCCACAAAAGCAGAGTTCACTCAGATACTGACGAGATGCGGGCAACGTTTGAATGTCAGAGTTTCAGGAAGAACCGTGACGAAGGCGAATCAAATTTCCAGCGAAACCTACTTTCCCCTTGAAGAGTTAAAGCTGCACGATTGTTAGGCGAGACACGTTCTCTGTCGGTTCTCCAAAAATTCCCTCGAAACAGTGGCGTTCTCTGGCTAGGTTTGCGATGCGCCACCGGTTCAACTCGTTCGCCGCTTGTGAGAAGAACTTTTCCGACGATAACAGCGTGTCTGGCCGCTATGTTGCCTCTCTTATCGTTCTCGAAGATCAGCGTTTATACCCTGGACGACGGAACTGGTGGATCAATGGTGTTGCACAGCTACCGGCAGTCTGCCAGCTGGAAACGCCGTGGGACGCTTTGCGTTTGTTGGTCTGCTCACGACAGCACGCGTTTGCACATGCTTACGAACAGGCACACACGCGCAGACGACACCAAGGGTTTCAAGAAGTATCCGTTCGTGTCGACGACATCTCACGGACTGACTGATCGACCTGTTCCTGGCTTCCTCCTCGTCGCCGTGGTCGCCGTGGTCGTCACCGGCGACGAGACGTACCCTTCCAGAAGTCGCATCTGCGCCGAGTACATCCATCCGTGAAACCGTATTTTAGTGGGAGGCAAAACCTCGTCTGGTGTTGACGTCAAAGTTCTTCCTTATTTCTTAATGAAGAACCAAACTCTCGGAACAAGGATCCTGACTTCAACCTGACCGATGTCATGAGAAATATGGCAGATGATGTCCGAGCGATAAAACTGACCCGTTTGTCTTCCGATGTTTCAAAACCGACCGCGGTGTTAGAAAGTTGCCGCAATTTAAATAGCCGAATGATTTCGATTTTGAAAGCGGTGAGAATCCGCAGAGATCGGCCAACAGGAATCGGTAATCACGTAAAGGTTGAAAATTCGGTATCTTTCGACATTTTATGGTTTCCCGTTGCGCGTTGATCCGTGAGGCACGCTTCCGTCTTCCACGTTTACGTTCATCAGATGACTATATTATTTATAACAGATTGAACGTGGGTTTCTTCGATATTTTATTAATAAAACGGCTCGTTTAATGTTACAGAATGTTAAACAGCCTGCTAGAGATAGAAGATATAAATTGTATTCGAGATTTAACGCGCCTCTATTAACAGCATTTCATTAACATAATGTTATGTTATCGTATTTTGCCACAACAACTTTTTAAGAAGTAACAAGAACACGTTTTCTCTTACTTCCTTTTGCGAATTCTTCGCCGGAATCAATTTTATGGGTTTGTTATCGAAATTATGTAAGACTTTAGTAATTATAATATTGGAACTGTCGATGAGACGTTCAAATTTACAATATCACAAACGTTCGTGAAATTACTTCCTTGGAACTGCCACGTTTGCTAGTTTGCTAATAACACGGGTTACGTTATTGGACAATTTTTTTTTAAACAGACACAGATAACCCAAACGATAAGAGAAATGAGGACGAAACTTGACGATTCGTGACGCATCATTTTCTTTGAAACTTTACAAAAATCGTTAGTTATTCCAAACAAACACAATAACAATTTGTAATTATATAAGCTCAATGAAACTTGACGTAATTAATTTACCATGGAATCCTTGATTTCTTGCAAATTTGTACCGGAAGCAAAATGAAGTCCTCGTGGTACGACTTGGCTATGGCTCGCCTTGCGAAACACACGTATACCGTATGTAATTGCTACGAGAAGAAGAGCAAGCAAAGCTTCGTTATACGTTGTTTGAAGGCGGGGCATGCACAAGCAATACAGTGCCACGACGGAAAGGCGCTGGTCAGGAAACACTTTCCTGCTGATGTTTTATGGAAAACGCGTGGTCCGCGAACGAGCAACCACGAAATCGGCACGGGAACGAATCGAAAATGAAGTCACGCGCGACGCGGAAATTTCAACGCTCGTAAAAATTCTCTTTCTATACGACCGAGTACCTCTATACATTAAATCCTTTCTTCCATTAATCTGCGAATAGCAAAGCAGACAATGAACCCACAATCATGTACTACTACAATGTTCCACTGATACCATCTTTATTATAAAAATTCACTTGTACATTAAACATCATGGTAATAATTTATTTTTTTCTAAAAATAAAGAGTATTTTCGAAATAATTATGCGCGATTTTAATAAAAAAATTCCATGACAAAAGGTTTATCACCATTCTCGTATTTAGTTGGGGGTAGATCGTAGGGAATAGGAAACACAGGTACACCGTTTTCCTCCACTTCAACCGGAAACGTCGTTGATCCGGTCTGCAAAGGGAATAGCATATGCTGAAATATTATGTTTACTTCTGAAACATTGATAAACATCGATGTTCCTACGTACGACAAATTTTGGAATAAATATTACACCTCCCTCGTAGTTCATGATATAATGGGAGTCTTTGCCTACTGTACCCCATGCAGCCTTGCTTAAATTGGCACTGGTGAGGACGAACCAAGGAATTCTCTTCATGTCTGGCGAGTACCTTGTATATGATTTTATGTGAGGCATCGCTTTGTCTCTCCCCGTCCTCTTGGCTTTCCACTGACTAGAGAAATTAAATCCCTTAAACAAAACACCGATGAAATGCTAAATGTTATTTGACCATGAAACTCACTACATATACGATTCTATCCATTCTTGTTTCGAATGTGTCTGAAGACTGTAAGGCAAGCAGCAGGACCCGACTCTGCAATCGAAACTTTCTTTATAATTGTTTATGGAAGGGTAAATGAACTGAAAGTTCGGATGACTCTTCAAACTTGACGGCGATTCCTTCGACATCGAGGATGTTATTTCTTTCAGAAGCCAGCTTTCGTAGTTTGGACCTAAACTACCGATACTTGAACTCTGAGCGACCAACGTCCATCTTGGGGCGTCTGGAGGCAGCGTGGCATGCTTCGAAAGAACGTAACCTAACTTTCTATGACCCCAGCTATCGTATTCGGTCCCCTTGTGTCTTCCGGGGACAGAGGCCAAGAAGAACACGTTTACCGAAGAAAAGTCTGCTCTTTGAACAGCAGACGTCCATTCGGTTGAAGCCGGCAGTCTGTATTTGTTCAGATAGAGCAGCAGGTCCTTCTTGAAACCTGTCGGGGATTCCCCATCGCTAGTGTTTGCTGATTTTGGCAATGGCGGAAGGTGTGGCGACATCCAAATTCTGATTAACAAAATTAATTTAACCGTTTATACATTGAGGCCTGGCCTTTGAGGAAAAGAAACATAAAATCATTTAACAGACCCTTGCGTTCTGTTCTCCCAGTCGTCCGAGTACAAGTTCGCGGTAGACACGACGACACGTATACCGTCGTCTTTGTATTTTAGAATCATGATTTTAGTGTGATGGCACCCAAATTTTGTTGGCATTGTTATAGGTATCATGGTAATATTTAAGCTCAACTTCTCCTCATCTACCCTATCCCCGTATAAAATTAACATATCTGTACGTTGTCCAGCTAATAAATATTGTAGACACAACCACCCAACATCCACCATAAAATTAATATGTAAACTACAGGCTATTTCTCCTAGGCTTCTGTCCAATATCTCAGGAAATGTTATAGAAAATGGTTGATCATATGTTGGTTTTGAATTATGAATTCTTGAGAAAAATATATGATAGGGGGCAGAAAGGGCATATTTTAGAGCAAAACCTCCTGGCTCGACCACAGATACTTTGTAACCCTGTCTTTTCATCATCTCAATTGCTTTTTCTCTAACTTCATTTCTAGATTTCATAGAACTACACGAATGGAAAATATCAATCAATGACTTTCCTTTTGTGCTTTCATTTGTACTTTGGGTACATTCTCCAACTTCTTCATTGTTCTTATTATGAACTGATTTTGATTTCTTATTCTCCCTCCCATTATCATTAAAACCTGTATTGTTTCTCTTCTTTTCCTGAGAAGGACCACTTTGATTTTCGTCAGCTATTTTGAGTTTATTAAGCTCATCCTTCATTGTATGAATTTTAGTTGGATCTTTATTACTATTAGAAGCTCTAAAGAGTGCTTCGCTCTGTTCATCCATTTCTTTCAACTTATTTTCTCTTATTTGAGCCATTGCCTGCTTATGTCTTTCTACCTTATCGCTTAAACTACTACCTTCAGTGGAACTTGTTGAATTTGTAGTGCATGACTGAGAACTTAATTGATTAACAAACAAACTGTTTTCACTATTATTTTTCTGCTTTTTCAGTACCATCTGTAAGATCCTCAATTGGTCTACCACAAGTGATCGATCAGAGCATTCAAAATCAAGCTCTTCAGGTAATTGTATTTCCCCTTCCAATTGATGCCTTACAATTTTTTCCACTGAAACACAAACATATTGTTTATTAATTACAATAGAATGCCTACTGAATAAAAATGAAAATAAACAATTATTACTTACAATGGGGATGTGACATCTCATTGAAATGAATCGGATTTTTGCGGTAACATTTTTCCATGTAAGGACATTTCTTTTTGACTGGAACTTGGATAAAACAAAGTAGCTTACTAAATCGTGTAAAATTATTACTTAACCTTAAAATCAGCCGCTTACCATTATCGCTCAAAATACTTGCTGCCATTTCGTATTATAATTATTTCCACAAAGAAAATTATGGGAAAGATTCAATTTTCACAATGACATATCAGACAATTGCACACATTATTGTAGAAAAATCTGTCAAACTGATGAGATTATTTTAATCTGCCACAGAAGGGGAACAGATGACGCTTCGATCAAGAAGCGTAAATGTGGTTCAAATCCAAATCAGTGCGCGTCTAAACATCGTAGTGGTTGTGCTTGTCAAAAATATTGTTAACAAAAGTAATTGTTGTGACAGTGTTAAAGCTGTTAAACATTTCTGAATGTCATATTACAATGATTGCGATCGTGACTAATCATTAGTACATCTTTTAGTCAACGATTAATCAAAGTAACGTAATCATTTATTAGTGTTTAGTGAAATAGTGTTGCCGCCAAATTTGTGGAATCAAAATGGCGACAATTTGTTCGACGCGCCGCGCCGTTTGCAGAAGTTCCAAAACACGATTAATTAATATCAGGAATTTTACAACCAGGAAATGAAGAATCATTCGTCGAGTTTGTCATTCCAGAAAACAACAGGCTGAGCCGGTAAGTCCAGTATTTAAAAATAAATCTTATGGTAAGCAGACAATATTTGTCAATGACATATTTTGCTGGATTTCAATGTCACCGATGTTCTTGATACGAAATATCATACTGCAGCATCAAGTGAAATTTCCCATAGACATAGATTAGATTACAAATTAAAGTTCGAATAAAAAAAACATTTTCTCCGATTTACCAGACTGTTAAACGGAATCTTAACGGAAGTAGGAAGTTTTGTAAGTTCTTTTCGGTATCGTACGTTACAAGTTACAATTCAGGAAGAGAATCTTAAACATGGAAGAGAAAGTTTAGAAACAGGCGGTATGAGACGATTGCGGAAAGTTGAGTTGCCGTTGGGAACGATAGGCAAAGTCGACAAGGGACGATTAAGAGCGTCTCGACGCGTAATCGCGCGTCCTCAACCGATCCGACGTCGAACACCCTGGTTAAGTTTCAACGAGGAAACTTGTCGACCGTGCCTCGATGTTCTAGCAAAGAGAATTGTGCCGAAGAATTTACATTTTTCCCTAAGAACAATTAGTCCTGGCATAAAAGACTAAAGAGTAGCCTTAAAAATCGTCTCGAGATGACTCGCTTAATATGCATGCGCATAATTTAACGGAGTCTGATCCAATATTGGCCTGATTAAATTAAAACTGACGAAGAGTTGAGAAGAGTAGCGGGTGGATAGTGGTAAAACTTTGACCGCAATTCCATGCAAATAAATGGACTACTGTTTAGAGAAAAAAAAAACCCCCAAAAAAACAGGTGGACAGAGGGACGGTTAAGAGGATTGCATCATTTGGTAGGGAAAGGATGGATTGACACGGTTTTAAGGATAGAAGAGGTTTCAGAGGAACACGTTTCTTCTTCTGGGATGTAGATAGACCCTTTTTACCAGAAATGGCTCGAATTTTTTACTGTTAACATGAACACGGAGGGAATTCTTGGGTAGCTGTTTCGTTTGATAAAAATAAGGATGAAAGATGTTGAAGGTAAACGTTGGGAAAAGAGGATTTAGTTGCAAAAATGATTATTCAAATGTTAGAAACGGAAGCAATAGCAGGAATAGTTGTTTCTATCCAAGTTCCTCAAAATTTCACCGTGTGTATTCGAATAATTTCAGGGAACGAATGAAACAATATCATACGTTTAACATAATAAAGCTTCCACCTACCGTCTAGCATGTACGAAACGTTGAAACATTTCAACTACCCGAGTATGCATAACTCGGTAATAACATCGAGGTTCGAGTGATCCTCTAGTTCGAGCATACGAATTTAATGATCTTCAACCGGTGCAATTAAACGTAAAACGTCGAACACTTTCGAGTTCTGTTTCCCGATGTTCGAATAAAATTAACGACTACGTTTCTTTACCTTAATTGCTGCTGGAAACGTTTCTTTTCCCTGATTATGTCTCGATCAGGGGTGTCCGCTAATTGGAAGCTGTTCGAATCGTTGAAACCCGGGTTCGAGTCGATTCCTCGTAATGGCACACCATCTATTTCCGTCATTGTAAACGCTATTTCCAGCAAGTGGTCGTCCCGGCTACTTCCCGAACTTTTCACAGCTGCATATTTCATGAAATTTTATTCCCGAGCGTGCTTAAAGTCCATGCGAATGGGATTAACGAACGGGAGTCAGCTCAATCAGAAGCTTCGATGTCTCTCGACTTCTTTCGGACGAAAGGCACGAAGGGAAAGAAACGACAGACGCGAGGGAAAATTGGATTTCTGTTAGCTTCGATATTCGAAGCTTCTTCACCATTCCAGTCCTACAGTTTTCTGACACTTGAACCTCACTGCTCTATTTACCCACCATTACTGAAATAATGAAATAAGGGCCTCGACGTCATAGGTTACTTAATTTGTCTAATGGTAGCGGTACCTCTTCAATTGTCGCGAGCGCGGCCGCGAGTCGCGACATTTACGAAGGGAAGTATTTCTTTCAAGGATCATTCGACGACGTTAAACGGATCCAAGGATCTACCCTTTTCCTCGGGTTGTAAGAAAACACGTATCTTTGCAATAAGTTAGCCCTGGACGAGTAAATAACAACAGCGTTGAATGTCACGCGGGCAATCCAGAGATGGGTGTAAAATGGTCGAAAAACAGTATCCGCTGGAGTTGCAGGATGTCGAGACAACAGAAACGAAGGAGAGCGAGAGAGAGAGAGAGAGATATCGAGACAGAAAGAAGGGGTGGGGGGAGATGCCGTGCGTCGAGACGCCTCGGTCCGCTCAGTCACCGCCCAGACCGCGCCGCGAGCGATTCGTTTAACGGGTTTTACACGTCCTTCCAAATATTTTTCGTCCTCGTAACGTGTGATCCAACCGTTTTCTCGAATGTATCTTAATCCTTTGTGTATTCGTGGAATACGTAGGACGCGTTCGAACGCGTATGTTAGTTCCGGTTATCCTGTCGGTGCTCCTGGTGAGCATCGTTGATCATCTTGCCTCGTGACCGGGGATCAAAAAACGGTGATATTCTTTTCCCCATCCATCACGTGAACCACAGTGCAAAGTTAAAGGAAGTGGTGCGGTGGTGGAGACCGTTTGCGAGACGCATCCTGTAGGAAGCGGTTTCCTCTGGAGGCGCTCAGAAAGCAATCAAGATCCATCGCAGCCCGGAAATGCCAGAAAGTCAAGGTCAGTTTATTTTACTCCGTTATACGAACAACACTCGCACCCTTTTTCATGTTTTTCCATCGCGATCTTTGCATTCTCCGACTTGTTTCGGATGACGAATGGGTTGTTCGTTTCGGAGCCTGGTCGAGAAACTTTCAAGAGTTGAAGTTTCCTTTGTTTTTATTGCTAGACAAATGTTCGAAGCAAAGATTCTAGTGTATCGTTGTCTCGCGAAACGAATTTTACATTTTAAGGGATGAACTCGATTGAATTATTGATAAGATCTTTCGTTGTTTTGCGAAGGAAAATTGAACCGAAGATGTTGGTCTCTCTCGTCTCGTTACCGCGGGATAAATAAAACGGCAAAATTGAATTCATAGTAACTCAGAAAATGCATAAAGTATTCAAGGGTAAATTGGATCACGGGTCGCAACGAATCTTGCCGGTACGGAAAGTTAAACAAAGTTGCCACCCGGCACAGGAAATATACGCAACGAAACTACGGTCAAGAACCGGGTCCCTCTTGACCCGGCTTTCTTGTCATTACCATTCGTTGCGGTTATCTTTAGAAAGCTATGAAAATTTCCGCCTGTATACTCAAATAATTGCTTAGCTTTGCAAAAGTTTCTTTTTGAAATTTTCGTGGCCTCTGAAAGTAAAGCAAATCTTTACTTTGTTGTTACAATCGTTTATCCCGAGGTATTCCACGAACTCGCCCTGTTTCATCTTCCAAGAAATATATTGCGTTCGAATATTACTAAAGTTTCCATCGATCGATCGTCAATCAAGAGTGTACTCCTTAGACGAGTGCTTCCGAAACTGTCTAACCTGTCGAAAGAAGTTGAAAAAGTTTTCTTCTCCTTCTAGCTATTTTAACCCCGAATATTCAAGGGTTCAAAGTTCGGTTAGGAGAAAAATTCAGAAGCATGTCACGTTGATCGAATTGTTCGAGTAACTAAGGAAACGCGGGAAATTTATCGGACAGCCTTAATTGCCTTCGGTTCGAAGTTGTTTCGTCCTAGGAATTAGAACGAAAGTTGCCGGAGGGAAATTTGGAAATCACGATTGTCAATATAATTAAATTGTTCTCGAGTTGGTAATAACAGGGGCGAGTTCCCTTGATTGGATCGTTGGTTAGTGTACCATACTGGATACGACTATTTCATAAAAACGGTGCTCTGATTGAAATTCAACTTATATCGAGGACTCTGAGTAATCGAAAAGTATTATTCGCATTAATCGAACGATCGTAAATCGTTCCGAGCGCGACTGTAAATTAATTCGAGCCTTGCGCTTATACGCTCGTCCAGATTTAAAACAGCTCCGGGTATCGGTTCGTTTATTAATGTGGATTAACTAACATCGATACGTCTAAACTGCTATCGGGACGAATCATAAATTAAACGTCCTACTATCTTGTAACTCGTAATTCGTAGTTGACAAATGTACACGATATCGTTTTTTTCTACTATGAGTTACTCGCGCATTTAACGATATATTTCGCGCGACCCATTTACATTTTTGATTTGACATATTTTTAGAGCTGAATTCCATGAAATTTAAAAGAAGGATCAACATTGGACAACTCGCATTCAAATACCATACTTTGAAATTTAAATGAACTAATTAGTGGTACGAATAAAAAAAATCTATACAATTTGTGAAAAGCCACGTCGCAACCGTCAGAATTTACTTAATTAATTTTTCAAACAAGTTAATATTTTTTAATCTATTCTTCATTGTGCATTGCTGATTCAATATTCGACCGATCATTTTGAATGATAGCGCTATGAACTTCGGCGGCGAGTAGATAAGGCAAATAAGAAAAGAGAAAAATGTCTCTTTGAGGGAAGCCTTTGTCTTGGATTGCGAGATGTAAAGTACTTCCTTACTTGAGAAGTTCCAGCTCGAAAGTGGCCGTTGTAAGCGTTGCCACAGAGAACAGTAGAGAGAACGAGTTCAAGAGAGATACTCCAATCTCCATTCAATA